AAGACCTGGAGTTGGAAAACCAAAAGGGAGGAACATGCTCAACATTTCTCAAGTTGAAAGAACTGAGGGAAAAATTTAAGCCTTGGGTTGCAATATTGAAAGATTCTATGGGGAAACTATTGAATGATGGAGGAAGCATCAAAAGAAAGTGGAATGAATACACAGAGTCACTGTACCAAAAAAGAACTGGTTGATCTTCATCCATTTGAGGAGGTGTCATATGATCCAGAACCAATGGTATTGAAGGAAGAAGCCAAAACTGCACTGATTGAATTGGCGAAGAAGAGGGCTTCAGGAATTGATGGAATATCCATTGAGATGTTTCAACAAACGGGTGCCCTGCTGAGTGAGGCACTCACTTGTCTATGCCAAGAGATTTGAAAGACAGCTGCCTGGCCAGTTGACTGGAAGAGATCCATATTTGTATCCATTCCAAAGAAACGTGATCCCAGGGAATGTGGAAATTATTGAACAATATCATTAATATAACACACAAGTAAAATCTTACTGAAGATAATTCAAAAACAGTTGCAGCAGTATATTGACAGAGAACTTCCAGAAATGCAAGCTGGATTCAGAAGAGGACGTGGAACAAAGGATATCATTGCTGATGTGAGATGGATCTTGACTCAAAGCAAAGAATACTAGAAAGGTGTTTACTTGAGTTTTATTGACTATGCAAACGCATTTGATTGTGTGGAACATAACAAATTGGATAACATTGAGAGGAATGGGAATTCCAGAACATTTAATTGTACTCATGAGGAACCTGCCCATAGACAAGGAGGCTGTCATTTGAACAGAACAAGTGGACACTGCACGGTTTAAAATCAAGAAGGGAGTGCGTCAGGGTTGTATCTTTCCCCCATACTTATTCAATCTATATGCTGAGTAAATAATCCGAGAAGCTGGACTATGTGAAGAAGAATGTGGCATCAGGATTGGTGGAAGGATCATTAACAATCTGCGATATGCTGACAACACAACTTTGTTAGATGAAAGTAAGGATGACTTGAAGCACTTACTGATGAAGATTGAAAAATACACTCTGTGGTATGAACTACATCTCAGTATAAAGAGAACAAAGGTCCTCACAGTTGGACCAATGAGCACCGTCACGATAAATGGAGAAAAGATTGAAGTTGTCAAAGACTTCACATTGCCTGGTTCTACAATCGACACGAACGGAAGCAACAGTCAGGACATCAGATGACGTATAGCACTGGGCAAGTGAGCTGCAAAGGACCTCTTTCAAGTGCTGAAGAGTAAAGATGTCTCCTTGAGAACTAAGGTGTGGCTGACACAAGCTATGGTATTTTCAGTCACCTCTTATGCACGTGAGAACTGGAAAATGAATAAGGAAGACCGAAGAAGAGTTGATGCTTTTGAGTTGCGGTGTTGATGAAGAATGCTGAAAGTACCATGGACTGCTAAAAGAATTAATAAATCTCTCCTGGAGGAAGTGTGAGAGGAATGCTCCTTGGAGGTGAGAATAGCCAGACTTCATCTTACCTACTTTGGTCATGTTGTCAGAAGGGGCCATTCACTGGACAAGGATATCATACTTGATAAGGTGGAGGGTCGACGAAAGAGGAGAAGGCCCTCAACATGATGGATTGACACAGTGACAGCAGCAGTGGGCTCAAATATAGCAGGCATAGTGGAGCTGGCACAGGACAGAGCGGTGTTTCATTCTGCTGTGCATGGAGTCGCTGTGAGTTGGAGACAACTCAACGGCACCTAACAACAAAATTAAAATGAACTGATTGCAAATCTAATATTGAATTTTTTTCTCTAAGATAGAAAGGACAGTAAATTTACACTGTAAATATATTAAAAGAATTACATGTTGTTTGCCCAAAACTAAGTTTTCATTATATGCTTTTTAATTTTAAAAGTTTATAAATCTGTTAAAGAAACAGTATGAGTTTGTAATGTGTAAAGTGTCTCTTCTCATGTTGGTAGTAATGGCAAAACATTAGCATCTCTTATTATTAGGTTATGTGAATCATTTATGGGTGGGATAATACTTTGTTATCTAGAAAGCCTTAAACAAATATGCTAAAACCAAACCAACTGAGTGCCATCAAGTTCATTCTGACTCTTAGCAACCCCATTGGGTTTCTAAGGCTGTAAATCTTTACGGAAGCAGACTGCCTCATCTTCCTTCCGTGGTGCAGCTGGTGGGTTCGTACTACCAGCCTTTTGGTTAGCAGCCAAATGCTTTAACCATTGTATCACCAGAGCTCCTAAACAAATATAAGGAATTATTGTATCTTAAAGGAAGATTTTCAAAATTAAGAATAGTCATTAAAAATATTCTAGATTTAATGAGGATAAAGCTTGAGGACCATTTTTCTTTAAGGAAAAAAGTCCATATTCCTGAGTTTCCAAATTGTCTTGCAAAATAGAGTTTCTGTCATAGAAGTATGAAGCAATGCCTTACTGACATTTCAGTACTAGTTTGACTTTATAGGCCCATTTTCATTTGAAATGTTATTATAGGCAGTCTAACTAATGCCTGTATTATTAGCAACACAGCCATACCCAGAGCTAATTTTCATTTTATATTTGTCTGCCTCTAAAGAATAAGGCAGCAGGAGCTCTAGTATTGTAGCACCTAAGGCACTTGACTGCTAACCAGAAGGCTGGCGGTTCAAACCCACCAGCCACTCCTCGGAAGGAAGGTTGGGCAATCATCTTCCGTAATGATACTGCCTCGGAAACCCAAGGAGGGGTCGCTATGAGGCAGGTCCGACTTGACGGCACATAACAACAACAACAACAAAGAATAAGGCTATTTTGTAACACTTTAGACAAAGCTAAGACCTTCCCAGAAACAGTGATCTAGTTCTGGGTTTATACTAGGTATAGTATTCCCACAAGGATGTAAAAGTAGTAATAATTTTCTGACTGTTTAAACTAATAGAATAAACATGACTATCCACTTGAAACCTCAAATTTACACAAAGATAATTCATATAAAACATTTCCTTTTGTATTAAAACAAGAAAATTATTATGAATTATCCCAATCCTTATAAATTTTCTTGTAAAATGGGGCACCCTCTCTTTCTTTTAACTTTCCCCTGATACCCTTTCTCCCAGCACTCACACACATTCACACACACACTTACTCACTTTCTCTATGAATGTATGTGTGTATGTATGTATTCAGGCTTCCTGCCATTAGAAGTACATCAGTGAAAAAGTTTAAGAATTAATATAATTAAAAGATCTAGTCTTTGTTTCATCTTGGATTTAAATTCCCGCTCTATAATCTAATGAGTGGTGTTTTGAAAAATATTTAACCCTTTGGACTTCTGTCTACTTATTTGTAAAGTAGTATTTAGCTCTTAGAGTTGTAGTAAGGATGAAATGAGAGTATCTGTAAGTGGTCTGGGAGCTCTGGTGGTGTAGTGCCTAAAGCATTTAACTGCTAACCAGGAGGCTGGTGGTTCAAACCCACCAGCCACTCCTCAGAAGGAAGGTTGGGCAATCTACTTCCGTAGCGATACCACCTCGGAAACCCAAGGAAGAGGGGTCTCTATGAGTCAGATCTGACTCAACGGCAGTGAGTTTGATTTTTTATAAGTTGTCTGATGCATAGTAGGATCTTAACAAATATTAATCTGGCCTACCTGTTCTTCGCTTCTTCTTTGTGTGCTATGTTTTCAGAGTATATAATAAAAGTCACTTGAGTAGAATTAACTGTTGTTGTTACGTGCCTTTGAGTCAGCTCCAACTCATAGTGACCCTATGTACAACAGCAAAACATTGCCTGGTCCTGTGCCAGCCTCACAATTCTTGCTATACATGAGCCCATCATTGCAGACACTGTGTCACTCTGTCTTGTTGAGGGCCTTCCGCTTTTTTGCTGATCCTCCACTTTACCAAGCATGATATCCTTCTCCAGGCACTGGTCCCTTCCCACAATATGACCAAAGTAGATGAAGTGGAGTCTGGCCATTCTCACTTCCAAGGAGCATTCCAGCTGCACTTCTTCCAGGACAGATTTGTTAGTTCTTCTGGCAGTCCATGGTGTTTTCAGTATTCTTCACCAACACCACAAAAGCATTGACTCTTTGATCTTTGTCCAGCTTTCACTTCCATATGAGACAATTGAAAATGTCATGGCTTGGGTTGGGCTTCACCACTTAAAAGAGGTCTTTTGCTGCAGATCTGCCCAGTGCAATGCAATGTCTAATTTCTTGACTGCTGCATCCATGAGTGTTGATTGTGGATCCAAGTAAAATGAAATCTTTGAAAACTTCGTTCTTTTCTCCATTTATCATGATGCAGTTGTGAGGATTTTCATTTTCTTTATGTTGAGGTGTAATCCATACTGAAGACTGTGATCTTTAATCTTCATCAGTAGGTGCTTCAAGTCATCTTCACTTTAAGTAAGCTGTTTTGTGTCATCTGCATGTTGCAGATTGTTAATGAGTTTTCCCCCAATCCTGATGCCACATTCTTCTTCATATAGTCCAACATAGAGATTATTTGCTCAGCATACAGATTGAATAAGTATGGTATAAGGATACAATCCTGAGGCACACCCTTCCTTATTTGACTAGAATTGGCTAGCTCTCAGAAAAAAACAAACAGTAACAAACATGAAAATAATTTGCATGGGACTTACTAACCAGTATTTTATAGTTGGAAATACTGGTTGTGTATGTGTATTTCTGGTATTGAAACTGGTATTTGAATATAAGAAAGGAATAGATTGGTCTTGTATTATTGCCATTCATCATCCTGGTGTAATAATTTTCTGAAGGTATGCTAATAGCTTGATTTAATTTGCTTCCATAAGTCTAGGTATAGTGCATATCCTAGTCAGTAGAGTAGTAGGCATGTCTCTTGTAAATGGAAATAACTGTTTTTTGAAGAAAGACAGAAACATGGGCTTATTTGCAAATGATAATACTAAAGAATTTTTTGTCTTAGCCATTCCAGTGTGAAATAACGCTTATCTTTTTAAAAATCCATTGTTATTAGCTTGGGAACCCGTTGTCTGAATCTGCTTGGTTTTCAGCAGTTCATGGGAGATAATGATATGACATCTGACTTAGTTGATGAAGGAAAAGAATTAATCAGACGAGGTAAGATTTGTCTTTTAAAATAAATGAATGGAGAAGGCTAAGAATCAAAATGTAAAATTAATGTTTGTAAAAAAACTATTAAATAGTTTTTAGTATAAAGAAATTATAAATTAATGTAGTTTTTTTACCTAAAAATCTACATACAACCTTCTTAGCAAAAATAATTTAAAAACGTAGTCTGTCTTTAATTCTGCAATATAAATTATTAGTACAGGCATACCTTGGAGATGCAAAACAAATGTCACAGTAAAGCAAATCACATGATTTTTTTGGTTTCCAAGTGCATATAAAAGATATGCTAACACTCTACTGTAGTCTATTAAGTGTTCAAAAAAAAAACCATTATGAAAGAGTTGGGAATACTGTAAGAATTACAAAATATGACATAGAGATATTTAGTGACCACATGGTGTTGGAAAAATGCTTCCAAGAAATGCTTGATGCAAGATTACCACAGACCTTTGATTTGGAAAGAAACATAGTATCTATAATGCACAATAAAGCAAAGTGCAATAAAATGAGGTATGCCTGTATGTCTGCAACTTAATATCATCTTGGAGTCATTTTCATATTTATCCTAAAATGTATTTGCCAAGTTCTGTACAGTCATAAAGGAGCTCTGGTAGCGTAATGCCTAAGGCATTTGACTGCTAATCAGAAGGCTGGTGGTTCAAACCCACCATCACTCCTCAGAAGGAAGATTAGGTGATCTGCTTCCATAGTGATACCACCTTGGAAACCCAAGGAAGGGTCGCTGTGAGTCAGATCCAACTTGACAGCAGTGAGTTTGTTTGCTTGTTGATACAGCCATAAAACTCATTAATTTAAGGAATCATGAGTCTAATTCTGCATGAGAAATCATTTAAGCCAAGAGTGTTTTCTAAGAATGTGGTGATCACTGACAGTCTGTTAGAATACATAGCACTCTTTTAGATTCTAGTCACGGAATTGAGTATATTAAATTTATTTATTTTCAAATGATGGTAGAATAGGAAAAACAAAACTTAAGTTTTGAGACATTGGTTCTTTGCCAGTCTCCTTTGCTGGATCTGGGGCCTTTGTATAATCAGTACTTGAATGCAAGCCAAAAAAACATATTGCAGCTCCAATATAAGCCAGAATATCCTTTATGTGCTTTCATAGGATTGAGGTGTCTAGTTAATGTAATTGTTCTACTGCTTTTTATATTAATTAGACCTCTTATGGAATATCATATCCAGTCCTGGGTAAGACTTTCAAGAGTTCGTATCCAGTCCTGGGTAAGATTTGCAAGAGTAAGATTGACAAGTCAAAAATTATTTAGAGAAAGATAGTATTATGAGCCTGTAGACCCTATCCTAGGCACTCTGGTGGTGTAGTGCCTAAGGCATTTGACTGCTAACCAGAAGGCTGCAGTTCAAACCCATCAGCCACTCCTCAGAAGGAAGATTGGGCAATCTACTTTCATAGAGGTACTTCCTTGGAAACCCAAGGAGGGGTCGCTATGAGTCGGGACCGACTTGATGGCAGTGAGTTTGGTTAGGTAGACCCGATTCTATGACTAAAATCACTGAAGGAACTGAATATGTAACCAAAAGAGAATGACCAAGAAAAAGACTCTTACATAGTAAGAAGAAAGGTATAAACTTGATTTAGGAGCTAGAACTGAAAGCAAAGACAAGTTACAGTGAAATAAACTTCAGATACCCATGAGAAAGAAATTTTCCCTTCACTTAAACTATTTAGGCAAAGGTTAGAGACCACCTGCAGCAAAAATAGAGTAGTCCTTCCCAACAATAAACAAACAAACAAACAAACAAACCCACAAATTCACAGCTATCAAGTCAGATCTGACTCATAGCAACCCCTCCTTGGGTTTCTAAGGTGGTATCTCTATGGACGTAGATTGCCCAGTCTTCTTTCTGAGAAGTGGCTGATGGGTTTGAACCACACTAGCCTTCTGGTTAGCAGTCAAATGTCTTAGGCACTACGCCACCAGACCACCCACCCAACAATAACCTATTATATTTGACTTTATAGTAATTTAAAATTGATCATAGCCCAATACATTAACTTTAGTTACTGAACTCCAATTAAACCATGTTTTACCAAATTTGAAACTACTTTCTGTCTTTAGAGAAGAGAAAAAGGCAAAGGCAAGAAGAAGGTGAAAATCGAAGAAGGGTAAGTATAGTACTTATTAAATTGCTCTAGACTAAAGATTAATGTGAAATATAAAAATCATACTGATTTATAGTAATTGGCTAAGAATCAAAGAACAACAGGAAAATGAAATATTTTTTTTGAAAATATAATTTTAATATTTTCAGGTATACATGTTAGAGATCCTACAGACTTGTTCTAAAGAGTCATTACTAATAAATTATTTCATTTATGTCCAATACCTAGCACAGTGAGTAAATCAATGCATTCTTGCTAGTAAAGTGGTTTTAATTGCTTTGAAATTGTTATGCTTTCTTGTAAAATGACATTAATTTTTTTCCTCTATAATTTTCCTTCAGTTCTCCATTTGCCAAAGCATGCTGACCTCCTGTTAGAGAGTAAAAAGGGAGAAAAAGAAAACTTCTGTAACAGTTCTTATAAATTTTCCATAAGTGGATGTACTTCTATTGGGAAAGTGAAGACTAGGAGGAAACAGGATAATTGTCTTCATATATTTTAGAGTAGTCATTTACAAAGGGAACTTGTTTGTTTCAGAAGGCATAACTAAAGCGTAGAAGTTACTAGAACCTCTTATGAGAATTTCTAACTTTTATATTTGACCAAAATTGAAACAGAATACATAGACCTAGTAATTCCTATGTCATGTAGTAAGACAGTTAAAAAAATTTTCATGGATATTTTAGAATGAAACTTTGCGCTATATGGAAAGTTGAATTAGGTAACCTCTATTGTACCTTTCAGTTATATGATTTTAATGAGAAGAATCTCAGTTAATTAGTTTTCCTACAGTTCAGAGTATTCACAGTGGAATGTAAGTCATAGTATGATTGCGTTTGTATAGAATTTTAATTTTGCTAAAGACTAGAACTTTTCAGGTCCCTAAGAATTATAGTGGATAACATTGAGAAGAATAGGAATTCCAGAACAAACACTTATTTGTGCTCATGAGGAACCTGTGCATAGACCAGGAGGCTGGCATTCGAACAGAACAAGGGGACACTGCATGGCTTAAAATCAAGAAGGGAGTGTGCATCAGGGTTGTATCCTTTCACCATACTTATTCAATCTATATGCTGGGCAAATAATCCAAGAAGCTGGACTATATGAAGAAGAACATGGCATCAAGATTGGAGGAAGAATCATTAACAACCTGCAGTACACTGACAACACAACTTCGCTAGCTGAAAGTGAGGATGACTTGAAGCACTTACTAATGAAGACTGAAGAATACAGTCTGCAGTACAGATTACATCTCAATATAAAGAAAAGAAGAATCTTCACAACTAGTCCTATAAGCAGCATCACGATGGATGGAGAAAAGATTGAAGTTGTCAAGGACTTCATATTGCTTGGTTCTACAATCAACACCAGTGGAAGCAGCAGTCAAGATGTAAGATGACATACTGCATTGGACAAATCTGCTGCAAAAGATCTCTTTCAAGTGATGAAGAGCAAAGATGTCTCCTTGAAGACTAAGGTGCGCCTAACCCAAGCCATGGGAGCTCTGGTGGCGTAGTGCCTAAGGCATTTGACTGCTAACCAGAGGCTGACAGTTCAAACCCTCCAGCCACTCCTTGGAAGGAAGATTGGGCAATCTATTTCTGTAAAGAGACCTCCTCGGAAACCCAAGGAGGAGTTGCTATGAGTTGAATCGGCTTGATGGCAGTGGGTTTGGTGGTTTTGTTTTTTTTTTGTAACTCAAGCCATGGTATTTTTCAGTCACCACTTATGCATGTGACAGCTGGACAATGATTAAGGAAGACTGAAGAAGAATTGATACTTTTCACTTGTGGTGTTGGAGAAGAATGCTAAAAGTACCATGGACTGCTAAAAGGACTAACTTATCTGTCCTGGAAGAAGTGCAGCCGGAATGCTCCTTGGAAGTGAGACAGACGAGACTTTGTCTCACCTACTTTGATCACGTTGTTAGAAGGAACCATTCCCTGGAGAAGGATATCATGCTTGGTAAAGTGAAGGGTCAACGAAGAAGGGGAAGGTCCTTGTGATAGTTGAAGATGTGTCAA